GGTGATCACCATCTTGGGAGTAATCGCCGGCATGATAGGAAGACTCTGTTTGGGTCGGCCCATCATGGGTCATGGGCACTACGATTTCGAAGGGTGGGTGGAGAGGAAATGCTCCTCCTGCCTCGATGGCAGGGTAGGCCCGCCTCCGCAACAACGAACCGAGGACATTTCGGTGGCCGTGCCAGTGCAAGAGGCCCCACAACCGGAGATAAAGGATGAAGAACAGGGGCAAGCTCAGCAAAAACACCATGGAAACCATGAATCTTGAAATGGGTTTTCAGAATTTCTTTACTTTCCTGCTAAATTTAATGTTGATTTTATTTTTCTGATGAATTCCATTTCATCACTGAACAATGGATATGTTGTATATCTCGACAATTAGTTTTTTTCTTTTGATGAATTCCATTTCATCACTGAACAATGGAATGCATTGACAAATCTATAGTGAACCCAGTCTTGCTGGTCGCGCGAACCCAGTAGTTGGGTTTCGACGAACCCAGCAAGGCTGAGTTCGGGCGACCAGCAAGGCTGGGTTCCACGGAACCTAAAAGATCTGGGTTTCGTCGAACCCAGCTACACAGCTCATCGGAACCCAGCTGATCTAAGTAGGAAAAAAAGAAAGAGAAAGAAAGAAAGAAAGGGAAGAAGAGGGATTGGGAAGTGAGGGTAATAATGTAATTTACTTTTTAATTAAAATATAAATATTTATTTACGTGACATTTTTATTTATCTATATAACATAATTATAATATATATATATATAATTGCCATGTCATCAAAAAAATTAAAAGAAAATGTCAAATGGAATTATTTAACTGTCACGTCATACTTAACTGACGAAGTGACCAAATTTGTGTAATTTTTAGAGTAAAAAGATAAAAAAATGAAAAAAATAATTTAAGGACCAAAAAAGTGCAAACCTATAAAGTTGAGGAATCAAATTTAGCATTTAACCTTTTTTTTTCTTTTCCACGTGGGGGAGGGTGACATGAAGGGTGTCATTAAGTCCATGTAAGTATCTTTTATATGTTGGCATATCCACGTCAGCTGTTCTAATTAAGTTAACGTGCCACGTGAGCAAAAATGAACGGAGGGACTAAAAATGGGCCGAATCTTAAAATTTAGGGATAAAAAAAGGGATTTTTTCGGTACAAGAACCAAAAAAAGGCTTTTTCCTATATTAGAGGGACTAGAAAGGGTATTTAACCTAAATCTTTTGGAGAATTTTCAATCACTTTTGCTACTGGGACGTCACCTCTTTAATTGAAAGGATTGGTTTAAAATTTTATTTATTTTATTTTTAGGAAGAAAAGAATTGCACAGCTAAATCGAATTTCCTTCTCTTCTATAATTAACTTTCACATTAAAATTAATGTTAATCTAATTTTTATCTTAAATATATAAATTAAAAGGGTAATAAATATAATTTTTTATAATTAATTTATATAAAA